TGGTCCACCAGTGTAGAGCTCTTCAAAAAGACATGATGGCTGTAGGAAAGTTCACAGAAACTCAGGTTACAGAACAAAGTAGTTGGAAGTTAGAGGATCTCATTATTATCATCAGATAGAGTGGAGGAAAAAAATAAGGAAGAACTTTAGTGAAAGAGCAGAAAAAGTAAACATTTTATTGATGGGTTTTTTATTCAGATTGTGAACAGATGTTTTTATGTGAATATAATGTTTTTACCAGGAAAAAAACTGATCAAACTAATCTCTTTTCTCTCTCTCTCTCTCTCCTCCACCTCATCCCCTCTTGTTCTTTTCAACCCTTCCTTCTTTCCCCACTCTCAGTTCTTTGCGTTTTTGGCCACTTTGTGCTACGCAGGAAGTGGCTATCTGAGCTACTGCGTGTGGAAAACAAAAGAAGAACAGTAGAGCTTCTCCTGACCCCCAGATTTCCATGTGGGTCAACAGAAGTCTAAAGAGAAGCAGAACGCAGGTTCTCTATCAACCAGCACAGCTGACGCCACAGTTGAAGAGGTTCACTGATAAACTAAATCAATATGAAAAAAACAACATTTATGGAGGAAAACCTTATTTTTTTGTGACTTCACAAAATGATGAAATCAGAAATGATGTTTCCACTTGGCTCGTGTTAACCTCTCACCAAGTTACTTTTAACCTCACTTTTGTATTGTGGTAAACAACTGAATCTGGATAAGACTAACACAAAAACAACCACCATTTTAAAAACTGTTATTTCTAGCACATGTCCATACTTTTTAATAGTCCATATTTTACTTCTCAGAAACAGCATGAGGGCTGCATAATTTGTTAATAAGTTTAATTATGATCTCATTTTGTATACAAGCACAATTAGTGATCCAGATGTAGAAGTCGATTTTTGTTTTCACTTCTTTATTTAATAAATATAACCAAATGTACATTTAAGTGCTTTGATTTATTTATGCAACATAATAAAATATGACATACTATTAAAAACAAAAAAACATATTTCATTTTTTGTTGTAAGTACGACTCATTTATTAAGTAAAACTAATCAAAAAGTAAAAGCAAAGCTATCAATTTTGCATATTTTAGCTGTGCTCACAATCAGAAGTTGCAATTCTCCAAACAGCTAAGAAGGCTGGCCCACGAAGGTGTGTGTTGTGCCCAAGGGGACACGATTATCACCAGGTAAAGGTAGATCAGGAAGTCCATGTTTGGATGGTATCTGAAAATTAAAGAAAGCTTGAATGAACCATAACATTAGGAAAATGCAAACACAAATGAAGCAAGTTCTTTTTAAATGCAAAACACAGGAGCTGCACTTGAAACAATAAGTCTGGTTCCTTTTGCTTCGACAAATAGTGAGGTTTAAAATCCCATGCTCCTTTGGGATGGAGAGGCATGCAGTTTTCACATAATCAAGTAGTCTAAAGCAACTATATTTGAAATGAGATATACGGATAATAAATCTACATTGAGGAGGATGTTTGGCAAAAGATGTGTTGTATTTCTTTGCGAATGCATCAAGAATTAACCTGATCAACATTTAGGCAGCTACTTAGACCAGCAGATAACAGGAAGGCTAAACATGTTGCTCTATTTTACCCTTTGACCTTTTGACTTATGTCTGTCATGGAACATGCTGGATTTGGAAAAGCTCCCAGGCTTCTGGAAATTTCAGAGTTCAGGCACAATCTTTCCTCTGTAGGATTTACACCCATCGCCGCTGACTCAACGAATTTCTCATGTGAAGACATTTTTTAAAATGTAAACTGTATATTCCATTTTTTTTTTTTTTACAACGTGTTAATAAAACTATTTGTTTACAGCAGCTTAGCTTTTACATACAGAGTTTGACCCCCTCAATGCGCTGATTAATGACCACTCAGCTCTATATTCCCTTAAGATATTATCCTGCTTGATCCGGTATTTCAGAATATCCTTTTGCCTTCCTGTGAAGCTGCTCCTTTATCTGCTAACGTTAAGAGCAGCACGAGTTCTTAAGGAGGATCATCATTTGGCCTAAGTGCCAGAATGCATGAAAAGCAATTGTGAAAATGCCACCCTTTGTTTGTCTTTTAACTTCAAACTATGGTTATTTTGCATAACCCAAACATAGTGCATATATGAGATAAAAGCACATAAAATCTGATAAATATGGCATGTATTTGTTTCCCTACTGAGTGATTTCCACATGCATTTTTATACCTAAATTGTAAAAATTACCCCAATAATTGTATCAACTCCAATATAAAATGTGTAGTTTGCTTTACCCAAAAAGGGGGCATGGGAATTGTGCAAGTCTTAAATACTTGGTTGTGTTAAATCTATCTACTATTCATTCATGGGAAACTGGACCCAGACCTTTTTTTTCCCCAAAAGTTCTGATGGTGTTTTTTAAAACACATATGAAAAAATGACAGAAAAAACAAAAACACAGCTCAGACTAAGGGTTTATGTTGAATTTTTTGTTAAAGATGAACTCTCCTTTTTTTATGTAAATATGGGATTAAACTACATAGAACTATGGAAAATATTATCAATGAAGCGGCAGGATGATGCATATTTTTAAATAAATACATAAATGAATAGGAATCTGGTCCCATAAGTGCAGACACCCTTTAACTAATAATTTGCTCAAGCTCTCTGCCAAAAACGAACTTCTTGAGATGATGATATTTACCAACTTTGCTTTGGGAGATTGAACAAAAATCAAAACAATTTTAGGGGTTTCATTTATTCAACACTGCATTTAAGTGACCCCACTGACTTTCAGTCCGATTTACTTCAGGATGTTGCTTGGAAATTTAGAAACTTTTTCCTGCCCTAATGGACTCAGATTTGTTAAAATGTTTCATGAATGCTCAGACTCACTATGATGTGTAGAAATAATCTCATTATTTTTGGTAAAAACAGGCCAGTATGTGAGAAAGTTAATTTGTTTTTTTTTACTTTATCAGAATTTGGTTTTATCTCAGGAACGGTGACTCAAGAGCATGATACTGCGACTACCAGGTGCCTTAGCTCAGTATAATTAAGGTTTATGCACAATTATCTAACCCTTGATTTTCATTTCATTATGTTGTCAATTTACATGAGTGAAAAATGCAGTTTTAACACGAGCATATAGGCAAAAAATTCCCAAGAAACATCTAAATAAATAGATAAGATTTGTGAGTTAATGTGTGAATTTAATATAAAGATAATTTGTAAGGCGATTAGTCTAAAGTTTTTGATGATGTTTAAACTGTGCAGGTCACTAAGCAGGTCTTTTTTTCCTGTATTACTATTGTTTTCCTCCCAAAGCCCAGCCATGTGAGGGTATTTCTTTCAACTGTGAATTGACCTTTTTTTTTTTTGACTGACAGAACAGCAACACGTGAACCCCAACTGGAACCTGATGAAAACTTGGACTATGATACTGACTGACTGACATAAGCATTTTTATAAAATCTTAGCTCAAAGAGCCAATCTGCAATGTATGGTGAATTATAACGTCTCACAGGAAGATGTCAGTGTTGAGTTGAAGCCGGTCTTCTGTTTAGCTTTACCTCTGGAGACCAGTTGGTTGTTTGTCTATACTGATGCAGATTGATTTACAGAGCGCATTTGTGCAAAGCATAAATGTTAACATCTTTATCATCAATAGAAAATAACATGGACAACAAATATAAGAGATAATCTCAGTAAATAATTAGTTTTGAAATAAAAACACCTTTGTAAAAAAAATGCTGTGTGAGGTGAACTGTTTGAAAGTAGTTTCAGTTTGTCTGAAATCCATGGTCTGTCCATGCATTCATTCATATTCACATCTCCAGGATTGAGTTTCATGAGCTAACAGATACATCGGAAAACCCCCCAAGTGGCTTTCCAGCTCCCTCTGGGCCATTCCCAGGTTGTTTCAGCAATCTCTGGGTCTGCCCCAGTGGGAGATATATTAAAACTTTCAAAGTTATGCATCCAGAAGGCAGGCATCCTCCTCTGATACACAAACTACCTCCCTCACTGGCAATGAAGCTTTCTACGTTTGTGTTTATTGCTCAGCTAGTCCACCTTAGGGAGGAAGCTAATTTTTCATGCAAAATCTTGTTCTTTTAAACTTCTTTGAAGAAGAGGTCATCATATAGACAGGATAGTAAACTGACAGCTTTGATCTCCTGGTGCACTATCACTCATGAATAAGACACAGACATGATTGAACACTCCCCATCTAGAGAGCGCTCTACCTTTTTTCAGGTTGAGATCCATTGCCTTAAAGGGAGCACACTCCTTTCAGCCATTTACATTAAACTCCAGTGACATAAGCATGGAATAATTGTTCTTATATGTGCATTTGCTCAAATGGATTTTATTTCATTATTTTGGGGGCAATAAAGGAAATAAAATAAATTAATAAAATGAGAACTCTTCTTTCTGTTGTTTGAGATATAGAAAAAAATTGCAATGTAGGTTTTTATCTTTGTCTAATGTAAAGATTTGTGAAGTTACTTCCTCTATGAGTCTATGAAATGTCTTCCTTAGAGCCTGGATTAACAAATTAAGATTAAAATGTTTAATTTTACTTTCACTTTGCTGATTTTAAGAATTATAATAAAGAAGTCCCCTCCTTGTTGTAAAGATTTCTCTGAAAAATCTGAACAGCCTCATGTTTCTATGACAATATCAAATGCATCACTGTCATTGATCTATTGCATTTTGGACCTTATCTCGTCAGATATGCATAAAGAGAACAAGAAGAAGGTGCCCTCCAGACATAGTGTTCTGTTCACTGTTTAAACAAAACAGGCCATTTCTACTTTATCACCAAGGGGGAGAAGCTGTCGTCAGTTTTTCCTCCTGTTTACTGACGTAATAATGAGATACAGCACATGCACCCCAAAAATGTTTTTGGAAATCCACAACAGTTTACGATTGGTTCTAACTTAGCTCCATGTGCTAATTGCTGTCTATTTAGAATTAAAATATACTGCAAAACATAAAAGCTAGCTGAAAGAAAACTTTCCAAATCCCACCTGTTTTCTTTCATCACATTTATAATATAGACTCTCTGAAAAAGCTCATTTACCCCTCAATCATATAGACATAAAATATTTAAACTAAATATGGCGGGAATATTTTATTTAATGCAATGAAAGAGAGATTTCTTTTAATTTATTTATGTTAAAGCTTTGTGGAAAAGCTTTAGCAACATATTAACCCAGTTCTTTACAGAGAGTAATGTGATTATGTACATATAGCATTGCATATTAAAACTGTGACAAGTTGAATAAAATCGTCATGCATAAATTTATTTCTGAAACCTTAATTGGTGGTTTTACTGTGTTCATATTTCCCTGCACGCCTCAACAGAAAACCCAGAAATTGAATTAACTAAATGCAAGGGTAGGTTCTTCTACATCTGCTGAAGAATATCCATAGCAGAACCTTCTAAACTAGGGGTCTTCCACCCTGGTCCTCATGACGGACTGTCCTGCATGTTTTAGTTCTGTGTCTGCTCTGCTTCAATCAAATGCCTGCATTACCTCCTCACCAACCATCAAGAGCTGCAGAGGCCTGTTAATC